CATAAATACACATATTGAAAGACGCATGCATGTCAATGCACACCTGAGCTATCCACTTCTCCATGATGACACAGAATATAGATGGCTGGAAAAGTACTGCTCTTTGGTTCCACTTTCTGGTCAGTTGCATCATGTCGTTTCTGAGTTTGAAGCCCTAACCCCATCATCATGAACGCTAAGCTCCCTCCGCAGCTCTGTAATAACAAACCAGCTGTCACTGTCTGTTTGGCTGAAAGGTGTGGCTTAAGTAGGGGATTATTGGTGCTGTTTTATATGAGCAGCATGGGCAGCTGCCCAGGGTGGCTTTGAAAAGGGGGTGGTGGGCATGAACACCAGACAAATCTAAAAGAAAAAAACAAGCATTTTTAATGTTGACGTTGCACTCTAAGTGACATAAAAGAAGAAAACCGAAACAGGCTTCTGGTTGGTTAGTCCAGCTTCAGGTACAGATGCAAGGCGTTGCAGAGGAGTCAGAGGGAGAGCATAGCGTTGAGTTCAGGGACGATTCAAGGAATGATGGAGTTCGGAACGCTGTGGTGTAAATTTTAAAGGTCAAAAAATTCTATTTTTTTCCCTGTTTTATGATTAAAGCTTTAACAAATTACAAAAGCAAATTTTAAAAGGATCTGCAATCAGTGACAATGCTGTGTATTTTTTCATGCTGGTCTAATTGTAAGACAGTCTTAAGAGTTTTTTTTTTTCTTTGATAACTGCTGAATAGAATTGATAAAGACAAAAGTGAAAATCTCAAGTCAGCAAGAAAGAGTCAGGCGGCAACAAAACAAAATCGAAAAAAAAAAATCCTGGCATGCCGTCAAGCTGGCACCGAGTCTCGGAAAAATACGACTCGGAAACAGAAATATCTTCAGAAAGGTACATGGAGAGACAAAAAAAAAAAAAAACAAACTCTGGATGAGAGACACAGAAAGATAATGACACACAGCTCACAGAGTGTGGATGAGAAGAATACAGGGAGAATGTACGATCGTAATCCTGTCACTCTGGGCCAACGGCACCATAATGGGTCCCCGAGTGAGTAGAAGGTTTAAGTTTCGTCAAAAGGTAAAGTTTTGTGAGCAGAGTGGACTTTTGGCTTTTAAACCTGAACTGGGAGCTGGTTTTACAGGAAAATGGCTTGTTAGGGAAAAGCTTTGTCCCCGGTTCAATTCTTCTTCTCCCTTTTTTTTTTTTTTTTTAATCAGTTCTTGGAGCCTCAAATAATCCCACTGGTCAAAAATAGTGTCAAATAACACATAGGGTCTTGAAGATATAGCAGAGCTTTGAACTTGGGTCGTTAAATCAGAAGATTTAAAAAATAAAATGAAAAAACATATCAGCTTACTTTAAGTCACTGTTTGGGGGAATTGTGGCTCTGCAGCTCAATGACTGACCCTTTAACAAATTTCCATTCAAGAAAACTGTAGTCCATGAGAATCTGCAGACAACACATAATCACCAATTTATGGTCCCTGCTTCCTGATTTTAAGACGTTCAAAGAGCTCTTTCATCATTATCTGTTTTTTAAAAACTATCTTTATCAAGGTATCTGCAGTATTTTTACTGTGTGTTGTACAAAGAAAACAAAATATTAGGATTGGTATGTCTAATTTTGACAGCTAATTAATCTACAATGGTCCTCTGCAGACTTCAGAGTGCCAGACGTGTTTTACAGAAATAAGACCGGGTTCAATGTTGCTGTTGTGCTGCTTTAAGATCCTCAGGCCAAATTTTGGGGGAAACTTCATATATATCGGTAGGACAATCATCGCCTGAAGGTAACATGAAGGAAGGTCTGTCCTTTGTTCCCCACTTGCATGTTTTCCTGTTTATCCAATACGGCCCCTCAAAACATACCCGACCTTTTCGAACCTTAATTTTGTTGCATGCGGCTTCTATGCGACCCGACATACTTGAAAGTACTTAACCATGTACTTGGAAATGTTTGTCGCATTGTAACAACCTAATTTCCAAAAACGAATGGCTTGTAGAGCGGCGTAAGTCCTTGAATCAGCCTTTTTTTTTTCTTTCTTTTTTGAAAACACTGCATTTATCCAAGTCAAGATCCCAAATAGTCTCTGATTGAGGTCCACGGAAGAGATTTTGTTTGTGCGTGTGTTTGGAGTAGCATGGAAAGGTTCTTCTGCAGCTCAGGATGAGAAATTGGGTCAGAGACTACAGCAGAAGAGGCAGCATGGGGTAGAATGAAAACTTAAAGCTTTGGCAGAAATTCGAGGGAGGACGGCAAACACTGATCTTCTTCCGGAGCTGGACGGGCATCGCCTGGCCCGGCATCTCGTGGCATTTGCAGTGGAGAGAGCCTGTCAAACATGCACAGTAAACCGTCAGCAGAGGTAAATAAAGCAATCTGCTCGTGACGACTGTCGGTTCCTCTGTCAGTCTTTGCGCTCTGCGAGAAAAACAACAACAAAAAAACGCTGCAGCAAAGTCAGTTTCAGTTGGAGCAAAGTTGCGCTTTCCGGCATCAAACCTTCCCCCAGAGGTGCAAACGTGTACAAAACGAGTACAGAACATGGCGTCCTGCTTATTGGAGGTGAGGAGGGGGTGTTTGGGCCTCTCATCTCCTGTAGCTTTGTGACATGCAGACCCTATTACAGCATGTAAATGACCCGCCCCCCCGCTGTGCGATCTTGAGGTACAGTGTGACAAACATGCCCGCATTTGCAGAGTTGTGTGTGAGTTGTGCGTCCTTTACCTGCGCCTGCATGAAGCTCGTGCTGTCAGAAATTGGGCAGGTGTCATGTTTTTCTTTCCCTTTTTTTCTCTTTTTTTTCTTATGGGAAACATAAAAGTGCACATGGGGGGGAAAAAAAACAAAAAACATTACAAATACTGCCTAGACACGCTTAGTTTGCTGAGTGAAATTGTTTCAACGTGGTTTGATTCCTAATTTATTGTCTTATGGGCCAGAAGTGAGTCATTAAAACCTTTGGATCTCTGGCAGAGCTGCTATTGTTCTAATTAATATTATTTTTCTGAAATAATGACAGTGTGATGAAACCATGGAGACCGGTCTGTATTTTCGAATGTTTTTAATTTAATTGTACCATTGCAGCGTTATTCTAAGAGCATTCATTTATCAGAGAGCATATGCATTTGAAATTGATAATTATGCTTCATATTAGTTATTTAAAAGGATTTTAAACAGCTTGACTGCCTTGTAGTACCTGCTTTATTTTTGATTTCTTGACATGAAAATGAAGACAAGTACCACGATCTATCAGTCTATCAGTAGAAATTATAATATATAGCTGTTGAATTATGGGAAACTCATGATGTCAGGGAAACTGAATGATTGCCATTTACTTTAGACCTGAAAGGAAAGTGTGTATTCTTTTTACTATAACTCAACTCTGGTCCAGCAATGGGTTCATTTCCACCTTAATATTAAAGCAGCCTGATGATGCTGCTCTCATCCACATGTAATTTACCACAGAGAGAGTCTGTTTCTCTAAAAGAAGGTCCTTTTTCCCCGTGTTTGTTTTTGTGCCATGAATGGGACCATCAAAGAACATGTTTGCTGCTCCTACCAAAAAAAAAAAAAAAAAGAGAGAGAAAGACCCGTTTCTCTTTTTCCTTTTGATGATATAATTTTGAGAGCTCAACTCTGTTTTCAGTCAGGCCTCCGAAAGATCGAGCTCCGAAGCCAGAAAGCACCTTAATTGCTGTATCGGCTATGACGGCCTTTTTCTTTCATCACTAACACTCTCCATCAGCCTTTTCTCTGTCCTCCCACTACTCGCTCATCCTTGCTCTCCACTGACAATGGCGAAAAATGTCCAACCTCACCTGGATCCCACAACCCTTCGCATTATTTCTTCCTTTTGTCCGTCGCAAACAAACACACACACACTTGCGTTCAGCAGTTGTACAATGTTCCCGTTCTTTTTGGGGGGGGGTTTTCAAGCATCTTCCACTCGACCCGCTCGCTCCGAGAGCTGGAGGTCATGTATTTATTTTAGGTTCTCTCGCAGTGGAAAAAAGAAATCCAATCTGAGTAATTTATCGCAATATAAAGCATGTGGTTTCAGGGAAATTAAACCTTGGAAGATGAACTATTGAGCGTCGGGCTCCATTCAAGCCCTCCCCCACCCAAAAGGGACCCAGAGTGCTACACGTTGCTTTAAAGCGCACAGGTCAATAAAAGTAATTGATAAGCTTTCATATAGATATATAGTGATGAATGGGGGACGTTTATGGCGTAATGAATCAAACTAACTCTGGAGCCATAAATAGACAATGGTATGGCCCGCCATAACGGGAATAAGCGTAAACTCATCCGCTGTAGTCAATGGGATATCACAGACAGGGCACCTATAGGGCGGCTGTGTTATTGGTCCATCACTTACACTTTATGAGCGGCTCGGAGCCGAGGCGCAAGGAGTGTTGAATTGGGTGGCCGAGTCATAGATTATTGGCGAAGTCATTGATCTGTCAGAGATGGCGTCTGAAACATGGCATCAGGCTTCAACCTAGAACTTTTACAGGGCCAACAGAACATGTCGTTTTTCCAAAAAAAACAAAAAAAAAAAAAACAGGCAACTTAAATAAAAGTTTTGCTTTAAAAGTGGAATTCATAATGCAATGCAGAAGACGCCCTTCTCGCATATTTGTCATGAATCAGTGAAGTGAATTTCTTGTCTTACCAAAAATTCCCAATGATATTTGGGTTTAAGCCATTCTAGCACGATTATAGTTTGAGGTTTTGCTATGGCTGCACAATACCAGGCAAATGTGTAAGGACAATCGCGATCATCTCTAAATGAAGTTAAAAAAAATCATATCTACTTTCCTTTCACCTCGCATCTAAAACATGATGCTTCAATGATGAATATTTTTTGCAGGATGGTGTACCTTCTTAATTTAACTTAATCTGAAAATAATAGGTTCCATTTTTTGATGCACAAGTACTGAACGCTAATAAACGTTTGGAAAAATGCCTCCCCCTGGTGGCCGCATGAAGTACTGTCGAAATATAGATATAAAAAAAATTCAAATGTTTATGAAATCACAAAAAATCTGACATTGGAGACCCAGAAACATTGAATAAAACACATTTAACCCCTTACAACATGAAATACATTCAGTGGTGCACAAACTTTCATTACAGAAGCAAGTCTTTGGTATCAGAAGTGGGTTGTTCGCACACACATTCAACTGTCTTCTTATTTTACACCTGAATGCTAATTAAGACATTATTTATAAAACACATTATTAACACAATAGCTATGAATATATATATATATATATATATATATATATATATATACATTTCTTTTAAAACTGTAAAAAAAAATTTTTTTTAAATCACATTGCAAACGAAAACTTTGAAGGGGTAGAATTTCCATTTTGGTACTTTGCCCACATTTTCAGCATATAAAGATATATATAAAACATCTGATTTGGTAATGTGACACCAACAAGTAAAGAGCTGCTAAATATTCAAACATTTTCAACGTACAGTCACTTTTGCTAAGACATTCTCTAAGAGACATGTATTTAAGATTGGCATGTCAAGATCAGGATAATCTGTCCCTGATACCAGCCCTAGACTCAGACCGACATATAATTAAAATCAATTTATAAGCGGTAAAGTAACAGTTTTGTCAGTATTATCTGGCATACATTAGTATTCCAACAGCATAGCGCTTAACTCACTCGTAAAATGATGTTCCAGACACTGAAGTTTCTCTTATTCATTACAAGACAGCCTCAAGCATCTCCGACATAGATTATTTAGACACAATGTTGTAATATTCTAACATTGTGTCACTGGAAGTATGATTAGCTTAAGCATTTATATTTTAGAAATACAACTGACTCCACAGCTACAGTCCTAAATAAACTTGTGTTTTATTCCATTTTTAATGCTAGTGAATTTTGAAGCGAGAGGCTAATGCCAGCATGTTTGCTCTGATAATGACAGACGGTTGCGACTCTCCGAATAGACGGAACTTACAGAGAATATTCACAAACTTTCAAAACGTTTTGCTTTGCTTTGAGTATCAAAAATTGTAATTTTAATGTTTCAGCCGCTGCAACTCGCTCTTTCTTCAATTATCCTTCAACCTTTTGAAAAAAAAAGAAAAAAAAGAAAAAAAACTAAACTAAAACTTAGTTGGTTCCTTGTTTAAGTAATTTCTGAAAGCTATAAAAAAAAAAAGAAAAAAAAGTGGTCCATTGCACACTGATATCAAAATCTTTTATCCACTTCTCCAGTGGTTCCAATGTTCTTTTAATAAAAGTTCAATAAATTCTCCAGTATGGAAATCCCAGTGCCTTTCTTCTTCTTAGTTTTTACACTTTCAATCAGATTTAGAACTAAGTACATCAAGTAGATTTCCATTTCCTCCATGGAAGAGGCTTGCCACATCAAAAAATGCTTTTGAGGTGTCAATTTTCCAAAATACTGCCACTAAAACAAATACTTGATTAGACAGCTAATCAAGTATTTATACATCTGTAACATATTTGTTCTGGACTGTTCTGTTTGCAGCAGTGGTTTTACTCCATACGCTTATCCAGAGAATCTTACAAGAAGTAAGATACCACTGTAACATATTTGTCATAATCGTAGCTGGCTTTCGGAGCTCCAAGGAGCTGTTCTCCAATAGAATGTCAAATCTTCACTGCATCATCGCCTGTCATCACAAAGTTGTGTGATTTGAGAGTTCTGTCAGCTGGTTCACCAAACCGCGTTGCAACTCAACTTTACCACAGACGTCATCGTCCACGTGGAGCTTTCCTGTTTATGTTCTCCAGACTGAGTGCTAGTCTCTTGGTAAAGAGTGCATTGGATTTGCCACAGTAGGTGTGAGTCGTCTTCAGTAGTTCCTCCGTCAAAGGATCCAACAGAGAGGGGACCGGGTCTGATCCAAAAGAATACTGGAAAGACAAAAGAATGCGTTTGTTGTCAGGTTTGAGGCGAACTCGTGTCCTCTGGGGCCCATAAACGTGACCGGTAATCCTGGCTAAACATAAACTGCTCTACACCGTCGGTCTCCAGGTAATTCTATACGCTTAGTGTCCAGTAATAACCAGAGATGGCAGTAGAGGTTTCACGATTTCCCGATAATGAAGGGCTCTTTACAATGCTCCGAGGAAATCAAAGGGGAATTAACATTTTTTATGCCAGCTCATTTACTTGCGGTTGGGTTCCTTGATATTGGGTCGCAAAGAGATCGGCGTTTTTACGAGCCCGAAGCCAGACAGGCTCGTTGCTCATAAAGTTGCATTTACAGTTGGTGTTATTGATTTTGTGTGGCTGTCTGTGCATGGAATCACGCTCCGAATGCATCGCCAGTGGTAAAAAAAAAAAAATTAATAGCTGCTTCTCTGACTTTTTGCTATGAAGGGAAGGGAAAGAGGGCTGTGTTGCAGACAACAAGTAGGGGTTCATCAGCATGACCTAAATTTTATTTATTTAAACCTTTGGCTTTATTATTATCACCTTCTTTTAATTATTATTGCTGACATTCACAAGAGCCGCGACCTGGTTGAGGGACTGACGGCCAGCGGTGACAATACCACGCTACAGAAAATCATTTGTCATTCCACAATGTTGGAATTACCTAAGAAACACTACCTGCATTGCTATGTTCTTATTTGTAAAGCACATAGCAATGCATGCAATAGGATACAACTAAACATAGTTGAATGGTTACAGTGGAAACTTGGCTCAAACTTGGAATGGATGGAATTACAGATCGATGACGGAGGGAGGAAAGTAGATATTGACGGAGATATAAATAAATGTGGAAATATTTCTCCGCTGTCAAGCAGGAACTCTGTAATGATGTTCTTCCACCACTTTCTGATCAATTATGAGGCGCAAAAAACAAAAGACATGCGCTGCTGCATCTAAACAAACTGAAATGGATTAAATGGTCTGTCCAGACGTTTTAACCACACAGAAGATTAACCAATTTGCTCAGAACCTCCTGGCAAATCAAGAGTTGATCACAAATCTATAAAAAGCATCGTTTGGAGTGGGGGAAAAAAATGTGCATGTGAACAGCCGGTAGTACACGTGTCCAGTAGTGTCATTGATCCCGTCCTATAAAGCTACAGTCTTAACTCCAGGCTATGGGTAAGGTATGGATAAACCATCAGTTTGATCTACGTTCAATGGGAAAGCAATGAGACCAGCAGTGTTGATGGCTTCATTAAGTAAATGCCACTTGTGTCGTCGATATCATTAAACAGCGGGTAAGCAACCCATAAACATCCTCATGGGGCAAATTAGCTTTCAATCCGAGCATCTGCCAAAGATGAAGATTGGTGTTTGCCTGCACAAGGCAATTGCGAACTCTAAAGCCCTTTTGCTCTTTGGGGTCAGCAGCAATCCAAAATCTCATCCGAGAGAGAAGCAGGAGGCGGCGGAGGACAGCAGCTGGGTCACCGAGGCTGGAAACGGCTTTCATCAGTTGTCGAGCTAAATTAAACCAACAAGACTTAGAGCGGCCTTGTCAAATCCGCTCTTTAAACTTTGATGGACCCAGGAGACTTTCTTTTGTTGTTTTACAAGAGAGGCACTTTTTCTTTTACTTCTGCAGGAAGGCAAACTTGGAATAGAAAAACACTCTCAAAACATAATAGTTGTATTTAGAATCTTAACATGGCACTTTGTGAAAATAGAAATTATGATTAAAAAAACTTTAGTACTACTTTTCTAACTTTTTTTAAAATGCAGTTCTTGTAAAACATTTCCATTTGGAATGGGATTCTTCTTAAAGAGGTCCAATTTAAATGAAAAAATTTGATAATTTTTTTATTTACAGATATTTACTGATTCTATTGTGGAATAAATAGTAGAGAAAATGGTAAAAATATTTCAAATAAAACTCCCAGTTTAGTTTTGTTAATTATCAGTAATTGAAATCAACATTTTTTATAAGAAATTTTTCACAATAAATAATAAACACTTCAATAAATGTCCACCCCTCCTCAAGTATAGTGATGTTTGATATCTATTAATTCTGTTGTCTGACACTATTAAGATATTTCTTTGATTCCTTTCCATATAGCTAATACGTTTGTTGAATTAGCTATGTTTTATCTACTTTTGAATAAATGTTATACAACCTTGAAATGCAAGGTTAGATGGTAAATGCCTAGTGATATAAAATCTGATGATTTGAATTGAAACGCATTCTGAAAACGAGCAAAAGAGTCTCCTGGGGAGTCTGAAGCGCACGGGAAAACATCTTGGAGCTCGAAAATACTGTAAAAAGTAACTTCAGAATCAACACAGAAATGCAAAAAAAACCCGTTCATTGGCAATCTCAGGCCCTTGATGACGACTATACAAACCTTTTTTATTGCCTCGTAAACGGCTCTGAAAGCCGGTTGTTTGTAGTCGTGGTAAACCCCCCTGTTTCCGTGCAAGACGTAGATACCGTCCTCCTCAGCGGAGGCACAGTTGCTGCCGTATATGCAATGATCAGGGCGGTAGTTCCACTTGCATGGAAACTCCAGCAGAAACTCTAAGAGCAGACAGAGAGAAAAACTTTGAGGTAAGACTCACTAGTTAAATCTATGATATTACCAAAGTATGTGTTCAATTTTGAAGCTTTTAATTGAAATATCTCATCTGAAAGTGCCACAAGGACGTGATGCTTACCGGGATTATGATGAAAAATAATATTGAGAAGGTCCTGGTCTCCCCAGGTTATATTCAGTTTGTATTTCTGAAGGAGAGGCATCAGCAGCTCCTCCCAGCGCAGTCCCACGCGGGTCATATCGTTCTGTCAACACAAACGAGCTTTTTCAGACATTCGAGGACGTCAGGCACAGGAGAATGGGGCCCTCTTGTGGTCAAAAGAAGGAAGTTCACCTTGAAAAAGGTGCTTCTCATTCTTGTCATGTTCATAAGCATGACCCCAGAGTTGATACCCGTCCTCCCGTAGAAAGGGTGCCTTGCGAAGCGGCTGTACCAGGCAATGCGGGGCTCCTCGTGCTCAGGGGACATGGCCGCCAGCTGGGAAGGACTAAACTGGGACAGGAACTCCCATAAGCCATCGACAGGCTGAAGGAAGAGGATGTCGGAGTCGACGTACATGATCGAGTCGATGTCCTTTAAGATCAGCTGCAAAATTACAAACCACAAATCCGATCACAAAGATGTTGACCTCGAGGCTGATCAAGGTACATTTTCTCCTCTGAGCAACTCACGGGTAGGAAGAGCCTCTGAGAAGCACAGGGTTTAAAGAGCTTCTTCCACTCGCCGGCGTTCTCGCTGGGGAAGCTGATGGAGTACACGGTGTAGTTGAACCTCGAGCGGAACGAATCGGGCCACGACTCCAGCTGAAACGCACCGGTACAAAGTGCTGACGATGAGCAGTGGGGAAAGGGAAAATTCCCGATAGTAGCACGGAACGCAACTCACAGTCTCTACGAAGCTGGCATGGAGCTGATCTTCAGCGAAGATGTGCAAGTGGAGGAGCTTGACGCTGAAAAGCACAGCGGATTTGATCATGGTGAGGGTCTCCTCAAGCCTCTCGCCGCAGGCCACCACGGCCAGGTGCATTGTGGGCTCGGGTCCCCTTCGAACGCCGCTCCCCGCCGCACCTTCTGTATGCCCGCTTTGACGCATGATATACCTGAGGGGAAAGACTTGAGCTTTATAGTACAGAAAGAGGTATTCTAAAGAAATTTTTGGTTGTTCACAAAAAAGGTCAACAAGCAAACAAATATGGCGACATGGAGAAAGAACCCTCATCCAATGAGACCGAAATTTAACTTTTTGGCCGGCATGCAACACCCCTATATGTGACTGAAAATTAATATGTCCACTGAATGCACCATCCCCGCAATGAAACATGGTGGTGGCAGCATCATGGTGTGGGTTAGATCTCATGGAGGCTCTCCAGCCAATCTGGCTGAATTTCAGCTAATATACCAAAAAGAACGGAGAAGAATTTCACTCCAGATCTGCAGACATGTCCTCTCCAAAGAAACACTTTTCATTTTTCACTTGAAAACCACGCTTTGTAGTTTGATTGGTCTTTCAATAAAGATCAATAAATTACTTAAGAAATGAATGATTTCAGATTATGACTTAAAGAACAATAACAGCGACCCCTACAGGCCTCTAACTATATATATACCAGTGTTATAACAAAATAAATGGGTGCAGTAAAAGAAACATTCATTAGGTAAGATGTAAATGTTACAAAAAGAAAAAAAATATATAGACATTGATCAAGTTGATGTTTCTGCAACTGTTGCTTAATCACTGCCACATTCCTATACATCTCTCGGACTGAACTTTTTGATCTCAAACTTCTCTTTCAAGCATGCAATTTGAACACGTTTTTAAATTCAGCCCGAGTAATAAAACCCCGACCTACCTATTGTACCAGTGGGGTTTCTGGGGCCCGGCTCTGGCCGCGGAGCCCCGCCTGCCTCCGGTGCCTCTCTGCGGGATGAAAGCCCTCCTCGCGCCGGGTCCTCCGGCCGAGGCGTCCGTGTTAAACAGCTTGCTGTAAACGTACAAGCCCGAAAACACGGCGAACACCGTGCACAGCAGCAGCGCGCGTATGTAACGCCGCATTATGGTGTTGGAAAACGCATCTCCGAGCTAAAGTCATGACACAGAAACTAACGTTTTCTGTTTTTGGTTGGCCGTGAAGTGAGACCAATTGTGGAAGCGCTTCCTGTCGCGCTTTAAAAAATAAGACCCTTTTTGGCTGAATCGAACCGAGACAATGTCGCCCTCTGGTGGTGATCTTGAAGATCAACAACTCCCTTCATTAACCTTTTGTTTTTTTCAGCCGAGCTGTTTTAATCGTTTATTTCATGAAGCATTAAGTGGACCTTATTATTCTTTTGCATTTCTAGATTTTATTCATATAATCCTTTATTTTGTGCAGGATTCTTTTTGATACGTTAATTTACAAGAGGTATCTGTTACATCACAAAAACATAAAAACAATAATACAATCTACAAACACTAAGCACAACATATCACCCATTACACTGTATTAGTTACTATCTTAATTTTAATAAACATTAAAAATGATTCTATCATAATTTGCTCTGTTTAAAGATTTTAATTTTCCTTATCGCAAACGTTCAATTACTAACCCTCTGTTGCTCATCCTTTTAAATTGTTAGATATTTTACTTGCATTGGTTTTAATTTCAATGCAAGTAAAAAAAAAAAAAGAAAAAGAAAAAAAGTCAGAATCTCTTGATTCTCTTATTGGTGGTTATTGACAAAGTGATCAGAAATAGTCCATTTTGAACAGCTTGCAAAGTTTGATCTTTACTATTATAATACTCATCTAAAACTCCCTTCACCTTTTGGCTCGCATGCTTTTATTCTGAAAGGGGACAGAAGTTCATCTGTCCTCCCGGTGTTTAACCTGATCCCGCAGCAAGCAGCAGGCGGAGACCCTCCGTAGGGGGAAGGGTGGGAGCGAAAAATGAATAGGGGTCCCTGAAAGGACCCATTCAGTCTGGCTTTAAGAGAGTTGCTCTCAGTGAGTGGGGCAGGTTTGACAGACAGACCTGAAGGTCAATTGAATTATCATTAAGTGTGGGGGATAAAAAAAAAAAGAAAAAACACTTTGGTGTTTCGATGAAAAGTTGTGAAAATGTAAGGAACTACACAAGAACATATATAAAAAAACATGAATGTTTCCTTGATCTTGCTCTGGAGTTCTCTCGTCTGCCCTGAGACTGAGCAATGTTTGTTTGGATGAAAGCTAATCTTCCTTGTGTTGTGAGGGAAACAGAACCAGTAATAGTTAATCCAAGATTAAGAAAAAAAAAAAGAAAAGAAAGCAAGCTGGGTCCTACAGGCACTTGCACGTCTGAAATAATAGCTGGGTGTGTGTACAATAAGCAGGACGAGTTTTTCTTGTTTTTAATTTGGTAGGTTTCTTATTTAGACGCATAATAAACAACACAGTTTAAACAAAGGAGCATGGTAAAGCATGACAAATGATAATGATTTAAAAAAAACTACCAATAAGTGATAAAGTTGCAATTTTTTTCCATTTTTGCCACAAATGAATCTTTTGAGTTCACACACTTAGTCCCAGCTAGAGCGGTGAACGCAATGGACACATGAAACAGTCCTAACAACTAAGAGACGCCGCCTTTTCCACAATATATCAAGACTTTAATAATATCATGCTGTGACACTTCTCTGTGCGCTAAAATGTCAAAATCTTGACAACACTGATATGATGAATATAACCACATCCAAACATTGTAGTAGAATATTATAGAAAGCTATTTTCTCTATACAACTGTTCTACGGGTCTTAGAGGTTACGGTGGAGTTCATCTGTTGTGATTCTGCTGGAGGTTGTTGTCTTCTAGAGCTTCTCCGTTTCTGAAGTCCTCGCTTTCTCAAAGTTCATGTTGAGAAGCCCACTTTTTTTTTTTCCTCCCACGTCTTGCGTCGAGTGGTAAAAATGGGCTTCTTGTGCTTTTTCACAAGGACTTGGGCCCTCTCTGCAGATCACACAGGTTGCAAGAAGTGTCCCAGAGTCATTTACAGCTTCAGTCACTTTACCACCTTTTATATGTAGCTGAGATATCTTCCTCTTCTTGTGCGATCAGCAACTTTTAACAGTAACCCTGGTTTGAAATGAGTTCCAGTCCAAGAAAAGCACAAAAATGTTGCATATTTGCACATCTCCAGCCTTTAGAATATGCGTCTATAAATATAAATCTCCATCTGAGGGAATTTGACAAGTAGGATCCCTGGTGTATCATTATGAACGTTAACAGTTTATTTACGTTTTGTAGAGAAAAGGTTGAGGGAAATAAAATTAAAAAAAGCACGGACTGAGTTTTAGACTGGTGTAGTGCATCAAGGTGGAGGCAGCTGGCCAAAAACGAGTGGAATCAGAGGCTGACTCAGCACCTCGACCACTCGCCACATTCCCCAGGAGATTCACAAGCACCGTCATGGTGCTGAAAGAGGCTGACATCAGGGAGTGCCTTCGCTATGATGCACAATTTATGCCGGCTCCGCAGTAAGAAGTTTACATCCACTTATCACAGGCCAAGTGTGAATGTTGGAGGTTCAAGCTTAATCTAGATATGTTTACTAAGGTAGAAATCAAGGCTTTGGGGTCATTGCTCAGAAATGTCGCGGTAACCTTTCCAAAATGATGTTTGGGAAAGCTTTTTAGTCCTAGAGAAATGAGAAACTTTTTAGTTTGGAGGAAAAATACAGCACCAATTGTCAAGAAGCGTGGAGGAAGCATCATGTTGAGGCTTCGTTTATGTTTTGCTGTGAGTGGGACTGGAACAAAAGGACAAAATCGAAAACTATACAGGCTTAAAACCTCTATTTGTATTTTAACCACAAAGCCCAAAATGAATGTGATATTCATGAGTGGACGTTGACTTCTTACTGGAACTACAGCAACGTTTAAAAAACAAAAAAAAACAAAAGTGGCAGCATAATAGGCATCCTGATGGAATGTTTCTACTCTGAGATTAGAAGTACAAATGTACTTTAGGTCTTGATGTGTCTAGTGAAGGGAGTCCCTTGGTTAATATTGTATTCCACAGCACAACACCTTGTATTGACTTTCTCTCTCTGGAGAGAGGAAAAAAGCAGACTGTTTGCAACATCGTTCAACTCCAGGTTTTACCTTTCATATCAGTGTGAGTTTCAGCCAGATGACTTAATGCTTTCACTACAAATTTCCTGTAGATATTTTTGCAATAAGCTGTTGCAAGAAGCTTCCAGATCAGCTGTAGAGGTTCGCTGTAGAGTTCGAGAGTCGCTGGTGAAACAGAGAAAGGTCATGCTTTCAGTTTTTAAACTGGACACCTCCAGGTAGGGATAGAAGAAACTGCTGACCACGATGATGATGATAACAGTAGGACTGTGCAGTTCTTACAGGAAACTTTAAATCTCAACTCAAGGTGATTGAGTGCTCTGTCCAAAGTTTGTCCCAAGTTTTAATAAGAAGTTCCTCACTAGGACCAAACTTTTTAGAAGTCCATATTCTAGCAGCAGACTTTAGTCAGTTCAGCAAAACATGTCTTCATAATGTTGTGGAGAATCTTTTGGGTGGCTGAACAACAAATCTTACCTTTCAAAAACAGAATCTTCAAAACATCGCCCCTTCCCCCAAAATGTTTTTCCACTAGTGACAATAGCGAGGGCCCCGGAGACGCAGGTTTCCTGTGAGGTGTTGAGTGGGGAGAATCAGAGGGACTCCCCGTTTACTGAGCTTCCCTCTCCTCGGGATAGGGAAGAGTGGGAGAAGCTCTTTTCCGTGTTTTCTGAGCCGGAGCCGTTTTGGCTGTGATGGTCGGCCAGTGAGGCAGAGCTGGAGGAAGGAGTGGATGTGGACGAGGGCTTGGCCTTCTCCTTAAAGTCTGTTATGATGACCGTGAGGTCTCCGACTGTCACCTCCAGATGCTGGGCGCTGCTCCGGTCAATATTTTTTAATCTTGGCCTAAATGGGGGACCAAAGCGCAAACAATGTATAATCCTGCACTGATTAACATTCTGGTGCAGAATTGACTTGTTTACCTCATCTTCTTGTGGCTGTTCTTCTTGGGTGCTGGCTCTCTTTCACTCTTGTCCCTCTCGACCCTCTCCTTCTTTTCCTTTTTGGGCTGTGATGGTAAAACAAACTGCTGCGTTACTTGCTGCTGGGAGACGAGCTGGGAGACGGGACGAGGCTTCCTGGTGGTGCGGAAAGAGCAGTGAAGAGATACATGAAGCGTCAGAGAGAAGAGAGATGTGTGGCAGATTAATGAGAGGGAAAATCACTGAGAGCACATGACCTCTCGCTGGCCTACTGCTGTAATGAAGAGCTAAAAAAGCCTGTTGGTACTAGAAAGGATTGTACTGCTGAGTTTTAATATTGGTTCACAATGGCATATTAAAAATGCACGAGTGCACACATTTCACATAATATTTCTGCAGAGGTACTTTAAAACTCTCGCAGGAAAGATACATGTAGGGTATTATTATATATACATATATAGAGAGAGAGAGAATTGGTAGCGTACATGTATCAAAATATGTATCTGATTTAAGCTCATGTAGTCTCTACCAGAGCAGCTCTACCAGAAGCAAGCTGCAGACTTTGGCTTTATGAAAATTAAATGAACGTTTGTAGCTGCCAAATTTAATCATAAGGCTGGTAACACAAAGTAGCCGAAACCATCTGCAGTGTCGGCCCATTTGGACAAGTATTGCAGAACCCTGGGCCAGATTTTAACCAAAATGAGTCTCTATGGCCCGTTCGGCTTAATGCAGCAGCTTTTGGCCATTTTCCCCAAAAGGAGGGAATATGCGGTCAGCTGTCTTCTTCAGAGGGGGGAAATGGTTGTTTAGCGATTCTGGGGTGACCTAAATTTGGGCACAGCTTCAAAAAGTCTCTTGTCTGCCTTTTTTCAGACTTATCAGTGTCTTTACAGAATCACATTTGGTACAAGCAAGGGTAGAGTGAAATGCAAATGGGTCTCTTGGCCTACATAACTCTCTGATAGAGAGGAGATAGTGGGATGCTTTAATATGTCTGTCTTGTCAGCAAGATGCAGCAAAACTGCTGACATCCTTGTTAAACTAAAGATAGATGCCTTCAAGTCTTCAGAGCTGTGAAGAGCTAGAAGCTTCCTTTATGTTAAATATTCCTGCAACAATGAAAGACGGTACAAAAGAGTGTGATTGTAAGGAAATCTTTTGTTCAACAATGTAATTTACTGTCATTACAGACCCATTAAGTCTATTACTCCTCATTAATACAATAAATCAGAGAACACCAAACCGTGCTCTACCAGCCTGTACCTGCTACAGAAGGACATACTTAAGGCTGTCACAATAAGCACTAAATCAATCGCATAATAAAATAAAATGAGCATAATAATTGCCATTTGGACAACAAAGAGTTACTCCCCTTTAATATTGTTGAAAAGCCATTTTCAGAAACACAGCAAACATTTGACACCCAGTACAAAGTAATTAACTTGCACTTTCTGCCACCGTTGCCTATTTTTCCTGACTAAGCTAAATGATTTTTTTTTTCTTTGTTGCCACAGAAAGTACGCCTGGGCCAATGAATCTATGTTGAGCTGTGTCACTTTGTGACAAAGCCCGCAAGCCTTTTCAGGGTTGCCGCTAGCTCTGTTGTGGCAACTCCAACATGATGGTGGTGAACTCACTGACACTTTGGCTGCCGCAGTTCTTTTAAAGAAAACAAGCAAGGACACATAGAGATGGTTTTTTTATTGTCTGGCTTGAAGTATTTTGTTAAAAGGGTTTGCGTCTGCTTGCCTTTATATCAACTCTGAGACGGTTGCTATAAGTAAATGGAGGGAGGGGTTACTGTGAAGTCAAACCTCAATGCAATCAGCTGATGTATTATTAGAATGAAGGAAGGCAGCCAGTATAAACAGGACTGGCTCTGGTAACCCAATCAAACAGTGTTTATCTTACCACTTAGGCCCTTCCCTGAGCTCTCTGGCTGCTGACTAGGAGTCTGAGAGAGAGAGAATTTATTGATTCCTAAAATAATTTCAGCACATAATACCAAAAGCTTCGACAATATTGGGTGTTGGATAGTCATGAAGCGTCATGAAGCATTTTGACCCACAGCAAAACTGTATTGATACTGTGTCACTGAATACTGACACCTGCTGGACATTAAAAATCCCTACAGGCAACGTGGTTGACAGACTGATTTGATTACCTCGTCTATATAATAAGATTTAAGTCATTGTATTCTGTTGTATATTATATATGATGTCATATCTTCAGTTAAATTCAAAATATATTTGATATTCTTAGATACAGTCAATAAATAATGTGAACATGTACCATAAAGTGAAAATTTCAGTGAACATGTTTGGAAAGAGGATGCTTATGGACCGCCACACACACATTTTTATTTTAAAAAAATTAATTTTTCCAACATTTTGAAATTTAGGCTGTTATGCTTTTTTTGACAAAATTTTTCCTGTTGTAGAAAAAAGGAAGTAAACAATATATTTCTATGAAATGATTTATAAAAAGCAACTCAGTAATTTGTATAGTGGCTCTATACCTGAGTTTATCCAAGGTGTATCTGGGACTTCATTCTAATGGCTGGCCCGATAATGCCTCAGCATTGAGGAGGTGGATTTATTTAAATAAGACATTTCTGTCAAACATATGCAACACTTAATCTGCAGAACATAATCTGAAAGTAAACTAAGAGTTAATTTCAGCTGAATTTGGAGTCAGATAGCTCAAGTAGAAACTGAAAAGAACTGGATGAAACAACGACAAAGTGATAAACAACACCTTACTGTCTCATGTAAGAACAAAATGGTCCCAAACTACAAAACCTTTCGTTTGCCTTAAGGCTGCTCCATCGTTGACACTGTACCGTAAAAAATCAATAATTCTTTTGGCAAATGCATCCTGTTGACAGATTCGCTTCCTCATAAACACAGTTTGGTGCGCCGGCGTCATTTTGAAACGGTTCCTGTATCGGTCACATGACTTGCTGAAAGCAATACGCGCACCGAGACGGGGTTTTGTCTATGGGCTTGATGTATGCGCCGACCGGCCGGTGTTGCTGGGCCCATCGCTAGTGTTGGATGAGTAGCTGGAAGTCAATATCTGCTCTTCTCAGGCAATCAATTCTGCAACAGTTACACATGTGGAAAAATTGAGATGTTATGAGGCGAAACCAAAGACATGGATTTCAGAAGGGAAAGCTGGATGACAAAAGTTTTCCAAACAAAACCACACAGTCTGAGAAAGGAAAAAAAAAGAAAAGTCTCCTCCAAAAGACTGAAACAAGGGTTCATTGTAGAATAAGGAGATGGTTGGAGACTAACTTGCTTTATCCTGTACCGTGCACAGTTAAAACAAAAAACCTGAACCCTCACATTTTACTGACCGGGAACTCTGGGTGACCTTATCCTGAATATGTTGTGCACAAACACACATGCTATCTATCACTATCTCAGTGTGGGTTTTCACACTCCTCTCCCTCCTTCCGATGCACTCACTGACCTCACACTCTTCCTCCACTAATGGCCTGGGCTGGAAACAGATGGTAACTTTATTGCTGCCGACAGACTTATAAACAGTGTGTGTGCACATTTACCTGGCACAACACATTTTTAAGTGTCTATTGTGATCTTTGAAACGTTCTGATGCAATTATTAGGTCTTTCTGAGTTTCATAACATCTCTTCTCCCCACTAAACAGTGCTGAAGTGGTACTCGTATGTAATTTATAGTTTTTTGGCATCTGGACAATCTAATGTTAGTGAAAGTGTACAAAACACAGACAACTGTGGAATAGAATATGCTAGATTTAGTGGATCCCTTAAATTAAATTTTCTTAATCCGCAAAAATGTCGCTGTTTTATTTGGCACATCAACTAAACCCTGTTTAAGAACCAGAAGTAAAGGAATTGTCCTGTTGAATATTATTTTCAAAAATAATTTAGAAAGGCCAAAATTGATCTGCCTTTTTTTTTGGGAAAAAGTGTGTGTTCAAAAACTAAATTGAGCAACAAAATCTTAAATCATAATGTACTGAACCAAGAATAAGCCCCCTTACAATTTAAGTAGATGTATGAAAAAAGGCCTCCTTATCATCTTGCACATAATGTTCTTTAATAGCTTTCTGAAATTTGCCTGAGGGTGAAAAGGTTGGAATGTAGGAGATTGATTGAACCTTGCAGGTGCTGCTCTGAGACGTGTAGCTAACCCTACACAGTCGTCCTCCTGAGAGATGCAGATGTGTTTTGCACTACAGTTGGATGAAAATGTATTTCAAAAACTAGCAGTAGGAGTGACGGTTAAATTTGAGGTAATCTTCGGCCCAAAACCTTCATTATAACCAGCCCATATGAGCATTGGACTTCTCAGCAATGTCAGTAACAACTGAATACCTTGCATTTCCAGGCCCTCCAGTGAGGTTCAAGGTCTGGACTATAACTGGAGGAGGATGTGAACCTGGTAGTTCCACATTGAATTATTCCCATATCTTTACAGGTTAATTTGCTTTTTGTAGAGCACATATTTTATTGTTTTTCATCATTTCAGAGGCCGTTCTTTTATTTGTAAGCGAGAGGACATAAATAAGGGAGATTCCCTCTATTGTATAGACTAAAAATTCTTCATCTATGTAGGTTTGCGTCAGTGATTTAACTGGAGTTAGCTCACTTATGCCTTTGAAAATAAACTTTATGAAAAAGCAAACAAAGAGTAACAGGAAATGGATGAAAACAGATCTCCACAAAAACACCATTCATTATCTAAACTGTAATAGGGAGCAGCACATATGATCCCTTTTCAAGGGCTAGAAAGGAATCTTTCTACACAGCACGGAAACTTTGATCTTTTTTTTCTGCTGAACTGTTGATCTTTTAATGATTTGGATCTAAAGCATGGCTCTGCAGATGTTTCAACTACGAGCCATAATTTGTCGAGCACACTGTGACAGGCAAACAGCCCTGGGAACAGCTGTTGGTCTGCATGTACGTATCCAGTACGGTGGTGGGCAGCTATAAGGAAATCTCATCTCGCTATTCAGTGGTGATTGTGAAATAGCATATTTTCCACCCTGTTGATTACCTTCAATGATGGCGTGTGTGTGTTTTGTCTTTTTAGCAGCAGGTTGCTTGCTGCTCCTGGGAGCTCCTCCAACCCGATGATTAATGTCTTTTCCTGCCTGTA